CAAAGTATGTTGCTCCACTGGCCTGCCTGCCTGCCTGTGATAGATGGATCGAAGTCACTCATTTTCTCATATTCTCTGTGGCTTTTTCCTCTGTATTTTACCTTCTTCCCCCAACACAGAACCTAAACAGATATGCCCTCATCAGCTGCTGCAGTGAAGAAGTTTCTTTTTCTTCTGAAGAACTAATACATTGGTCCTTTCTGTTGCTTCCTTTTTCACCTTCAGTGCAGAGTGACTTTAGTTATTTCTTTGGCTTCCATAACCATTAATCATGCACTATGGCTCTACCATTTAGAATTCAGAAATGCCTAGAGAGTGAATTCTGTCAAGAAAGATAAAATGATAGTGGTTCCCACAGCTCCTGTTGGTCTCGGGGAGTAGTGAAAGTTCACTTATTTAGAACTGTGCCTGGACACAATATCCTCGAACCATGAAGAAACAACTCAACTCAGCAAACTGGAGACAGTACTTCATAGATCTATGAGGGGCATCCTAAGACCTGAACCAACTCCACAGGGACAAACCCACAGAGCTGTCTAACATCCAGCCTACTGGAAGAGAGATGCCTGACCAAGAGAGACATCTATAATATCCTCAAAGTCCACTGACACAGCCTCTTTAATGACAATTCCATCTCTGCTTCAGAGAGTCCTAAAGGAGATGATGTCAAAATGCTGTTTCTGGTCTTCTCTACTTAAGGTGTCATCACAGCATTCATGTTCAATGCGTGTATTCACACGAGTGACTCTGGTGTGAAACCATGGCTGTGATCACTTCCCTGGGTAGGAGCATCAGACACACATTTTTCTCATATGTATGCTTTCCTACAGTACACACTGGCAGCCATTTCAGTTTGCTAGAGCCTGCAGTGACTCCTGGGGGAACATATGAATTACAGTGAGAAAGAAGAAAAGATAGTAGGATTTCCAGAAGTTTTGCTAAAGCATTTATGTACCAAAGTTACAGCTTTTTCTCTCTCTAACATACTCATGCTGGAATGCTTTCCCCTGTATTTAAAATTGCATTTGAAGGGCTCAGTAACAGCCAGCAGTCATGAACAACTATGGGCGATATTCTAGAGTAAATGTTTAGACCAGAAACAAAAATAGAACCCACATCTCAGCCAGAAACAGAAACAAGTTCCTAAACAATTGAGTCAAGGAGGCTGAACATCTGTATAGCTAGAAACTGTCTAGCTAGCCTATTTTTTTTCACTTAAATGCATAAAGAAAAGAACATCTTTACCTCTGGGTACAAAGTTGTAACTCCTCTAATCTCAGTCCCCTTGTGGGAAAAGTATTCTGCATAGTGTCAGAAATCGTGGCGTGTATATGTTAAGTTGGCATGTATAATTATTTAGCACATGTTAGCGGGCCTACAGTACCCTTTCTCTTACATGTTTATAACTAGAACTAGCCTTCTAAGTATGGGGGCTTCCCCTAAAAGTCAAGGCAGGAAGTAAATTTACTAATAAGTCTTTTACTAAACTTTTAAACTAATTAAGATGGGAAGACATCATTTTCAGATATGTGCTGAGAACTGACTTGTATAGACATGGGATAGATATGGAAATAGAGAGGACCCCTGGTATGCAGAAGGCCTGTTGATTTCATCATGTGATTCTAGTGTGAAGAGAAATAAGACACCTAGTTCTGAGATGAAAAGCCCGAAGTACAAGAGAGGCCTAAAGTGCTTTTTTTCCATTGAAAAAAGAGAAACTGCATGATGATAGAGGTAGCCATGCTTAAAACTTTCTTTAGTTTTTACACCAACATTACTTATGTTATGTAATAACATACCCATTTTTAACAGATGAAGAAACTGAGGCCAGAGGGGTTAAGTGATTTGTCCAAGAACATTTATCTAAGCTAAACCAGTGTGATATTCATGTGAAAACAGGACTGGACCTAAACAAAGAAAAAGAAACCTGCAAATTAAAGTTAGAACAGAGGGAGGAAATTTGGCTGCGAACCTAAAAAACTTTGAATCATACATTACAGTTCAAATATTGATAAAGTATTACCTACGAGCCAAATCTAATATATTTGCAGTGTTTGTGAATAAAGAGTATTATTAAACCATAGTTTTCCCTGAGACCCACACACACCCATGTATGTTGGTATTGCACTACAATAACAGTTGAGGATTTGTCACACAACATATAGCACCACAGCCCGAAATAGTTACTCTCTGGCCCTTGATGGAAAATATTTGCTGACCTCTGTTCTAGCTGACTAGGGATCTTTTGAAAGTATTGGAGAAAGGAAGCCATATTCTTAGAGTCGTGCATTACTAACTGGGACCATCTTAATCTGCAGGACATCTTGAAAGGATTATTTTAACACTACTTCAGTTGTCTGGGCTCTCATCCCGCTCATCCAGTCTCCCACAGTAGCCTTCCCCCAACACTCCTGACCAAAACGTTAAGATTTTCAGAGTCCAGGCTGGTAACAAAAGCGGGTGTGATGTGCTAAGTGCTAGAAAGCCAAACAGCACAAGGAAGTTGGCAAACGGCACTGGTCAGTTGCTAGCTTCTGGCTGAGAATGTGGTGGGGGGGATGGGAAGCGCCACACACTGAGTTGGTCCTGCTCTACCTGGCATTCACTGCACTGTGCTGGCACACTCAAAGGTTGTGGACTTTATAGTTGAGAATATACAGAGACCAGTAGGAATTTGTCAGGTTGCTTTGTACAGGATCCATTTTGAACACTGAGAATGTGATAGCCACCTACAATTTAAGGAACTCTTGCATATTGTCCTAATCATCAGTTGACTAGATTGGCTGGCCATTGATGTGCAGGGATCCTCCTGTCTCTGTCTCCACCCCAGGGACACCGTTGCAGGCAAGTGCTACCAGTACTGGCTTATGTGTGGGTGCGGGGGACCCAAACTTTGGTACCCATGCTTGGAGGCACCTTGCCAGTTGTGCCATCTCTGAAGTCCTTTGTCACCATTCTTTAATACCTGAATTCCTTTAGACTAACTGCAATAATTTACTATCTATTAGCCACTTATTATATGTCAGGTACAGTGCAAACACTGATGAAATTTTATCCTCATTTTGGAGAAGCCCCAATCTGCTGTGATAGGGAGGTATTTTAAAATGGTCACAACACTGTAAGATATATGAACCTTAGAATCAGTTGCCAGAAGACAGAATCCACTCTACCCAACTGAATGTTCATTTATATAACTGGCCCCTAAGACAATGTTACAATGTGTACAGGATTGTGGGTTAGTTTCCAGTCCCTCGTGTTTTCTCAGCCCACACAACAACTATCCCCAGTTCCAATTCTTGGATATCCAAAGGACCCAAAGAGTGGCCACAGAGCTCCCAAGATACTCAGGAAGTGGGAGGGTGATGCTAAGCAGAAGCAGGCCAACTCCAAAATCGGGGACCCCAGAAGTGACAAATAGAAAGGAACTATTAAAGCAAAAGATGAGCCAAAAATGTTCCCTCCAAGTTAGTGACCGTGACATAGATGATAAACTACTCTTTGAACAGAATCCTAGCTGGAAAAAACTCCAGAAAGAGCACACACTGAGGGTTCATTTGCATCTCAATCATCTACACTGGAAAGCCTCTCTTAATGGTTGTTCTCCAGAGTAGTCTGCCCTGGATTCGGTCCACTTAATATATTCTGTTCTTGGCTAGATATAATCACAATTGTTGCCTCAAATGGGAAGCTTTAGTGGGCAGTGTGGTATAGACACTCAGACCTATCATAGTTGTCTGTTGCCAGCTTTGCAAATGTATTTCTTCTTGAATTCTATAAAACATTACTTTTCTTTGTTTCATTTGTATTTACTTTCTGGTACACAGGTTAGCATGTTGAACTCATTGGAGTTAAATCTACACACAGGCAAGAAAACTAGATTTGTAATTATATGTTCCCAACAGTTGTATCAAGTCCTCCAAGAGCCAAGCCACTCAGCCATTTGTGAAAGATAACAAATACACAATTAATATAAAGTGAAGGATTTTTCCTTAATCCTGAAGGAAAAAGAATGCTAAATTCTAAATGTCTGTGAATTAGTAAATTTTTAAATACTTAATTTCTTTTAGAATTTTAAAGAAATTTTGAGAGTAAAGTGCATTTTCTCATCACCTAGAATTACATATTCTCTGAGTTTAAATAACTAAGCATTGTTAGTACTATGCATTTAAAATGGAATTCCATTTAATATATTACTCTAGACAAAAGCCCCACATTAGATATATAATTTCCAATTTTTATTTACATTTTTAGGTTGTATTTTCACTTCACTGCAGTGAATTTATGAATTTGATACTTACAGTGTTCATGTTTTCACAAAATTTTCATTTTCAAAAATTGTCTCAACATTATCTCCTGTGCAGATAGTAGGTCGTGCATACTGAAGGGTGCCCGATGTATGTTGAATTCTCTTCATCCTGAACTATTTCATTGTTCACAAAAGCATGACCTCTCCTTGTTCATCTTAATGGGCTCTTCAGTGAAAACTGAGTTGTGGTTAAGCAGAGAAAACATTTCTATCTAGAGTTTGGATGTAATAGCAGAAAACTATAAAAAAGCACCTGGCTACAGTTACACTTCAGATAATGCCATTCTTACCAACAACTGAGCACATAAACAACAGTCTGTGAAAAATGGAATGGAGGGGAAATGGTGTGTTTTATATTTACAATGTGCCTTTTCTTTGTTTTGATATGTTCAGATATGCATATCATTACCAGTGTGTTATAGCTGCTTATAGCTACAGGTTTATAGGTGTTGTGGCTGTCTCACTGGGGCTTGTGGATATTCATTGAATAAGTGTTCACTGTGACAAAATTACCTAACAACACATTGCTTAGAATCTATTTCCATCATTATGTGATATTTAACTGATTTTCAGACTATTAACCGATGACCTTTGCATTCAGAAGTAGTAGGATTTCTGTTTAACTCAACTCCCTTTCCTTTTCTTCTTTTTCTCCTCCTTCCTTTTTATCTCTCCTTTCCTATGTTTATTTCAGATTGAAAATGGCTCAGGCATCCGTCAGCAAATTGACATCAGAGAAGAAAGTAGAAACAAAGAAAATTAATCCCGCTGCTAGTCTGGTAAGCCACATTTTCCACCAAAACCTCTAGGTTTTTCATCATATCAGGAATATACTCCCAATAGTATGTGAATTTAAAGCTCAAAACTCAGGGAAGAAATGGAGTATTGGTATCCTTCCTCCCATCTTAACACCATGTGGTTTCAAAACAAAACTAGACACGAATGGGTAAAGCATGCTTTCACATGTTCCCTTGTAATAAAGCAAATTGTGTCACTTGCCATTTCATATCCTTCTCCAACCCTCTCACTCTTGTCTCCAGGTGCCTTCTTCCTCCTGAGAGGTCCCCGAGTATCCCCATCCTTCTTCCCATTAACAAAGGAAGCAGGATGTCCCCTAGGAGTTGTTAAGGAAGTTGAGATGCAAAACTGTACAGTCTGCCTAATGTCACTTGGCAAATATATGACAAAAAGCCTGACCACAGGGGAGCAGTGATCTCCTCACATTTCTTCCTTATACTGGAAACCAGCCAGTGTCTTTATGCTTTCCTAAGTTTTAGAAACTCATCCTCCAGTGTTCAGTAGAGGTCACGATGATTCTCCGCCTGTGTGCCACACACTGTCTTGGTTACCTTCCCTGTTGCTGTGATAATATACCTCCAACAAAAAGCAACTTAAAGGAAAAGAGGCCTTGTTTTGGCTCATGGTTTGACATTATTGTGAAGTCACAGAACCAGGAGCTGGGGCATCTGATTACATTTTATCCACAATCCAGATGCAGAAAGCAATGAATACTAATGCTCACCTCGCTGTCTCAAGTAATCCAGGGTCCCATCCCAGGGAAGGGTGTCACCCACGGTGGGCAGGTCTTCCTATCTCAGTTATCCGAATCAAGTGTGCCACAGGTATGCCCAGAAGTTAAATGAACCCTCTCAGATGTGCCAGTAGACTTGGCTCCCAGGTGATTTCGGATCATGCCAAGTTGGAAATTAACATTAACCGTTGTACAGTCATTGGTCAGCATTGCTGTGTGATTAGGAGCCCAGGGTTATTGGGAAGGAGACAGCCTAGGTTTAAACCTCAGCATAGCCATAAGACCTTAGTAAGGTTCTTTGCTTTGTTTTCTTCAAGGAAAAGAGAGCAATGATGATACCACCTTTTTTTGAGGGAACTGAGGAAAGGCATGGAGTACCAGTTACATAATAGAGGTTCAATAAATACTAGCGACTGTTCTTACTTCCATGAGTTCCAGCGGGTGTAGACCCTGTGATGAGGAACGGCAATGTTGGGACAGTGGGAATGTCTTCCTCCATGCTATGTAGTAGGTTGATAGAATCTGGAAACCGTGGAGTCTAAGGGGGAAGAACCATAGAAATACTTTAATTTCTGGGTATTTAGTACGATTATACTCCACCATTTAAGACCAAGATTTGAGAGAGTAACCAAAACTTGAGGGGAAAAAAAACTGTTTAAAAGATAGAAATGACAATGGATCTGCTTTCTTCTTAAACAACAGAAAGAACGACTGCGTCAGAAGGAAGCCAGTGTGGGCACCAGCTAAGGTGGAAGCAGAAGGAAATTGCATTTCGAGAGGAGGCGACCCAATGCTTCTCTAGACACAAGTGTCAAGGGGAATTCCTACAGATCTGTTACAGAACACTTGCTCTGCTTTTCTCCTGAGGTTGCTTGCAGAAAGAGCCCTGTGCCTTCTTGGAGAAGCCCCTTGTTAGCGCCCACAGGAACAATGCAATGCTACGTATGGAATTATTACAGGAATATTTGGTAATTGTTTCTTAAAGAAGTCCAAAGTCCACCCTATCAAAGAATCAATCAGAAGAAATACCAAAATTTTTCACATTTTGCTTTATGCTGAAATTCTAAGCTTTCCAATGTATAATCATCATGTTATAAAAGGGGTACATCTTTTATGGTGATTGCCTTGAGGGAACTCAAGCCTTGTACCTTACACACTATAATTTTGTGTGTGTGTGTGTGTGTCGGTCTTAGCCTTGATCCAGTTGTACCAAGCTCCCATGGCATTTTCATCAAAAATGTTGAAACTTACCAGAACTGCATTTTAGAGATTTAACACTGTATATCTCCCAGACTAGGGAAATAATTTTTGATGATGATAGTGATGATAAAATGAAAATGAAAGGAATTAAAATTTCACATAGGTGGAGAGAGAGAAAAACCTCATACTGGAAAGTAAGGATGCTGGGAGTGAACATTAGCCATTGAGAGAGGCGTACTCTATTAACATGGCTTCCTGGCCAAGAGAGATTCTGTGCCAGCTTCTGATATAAACAGGGCAGGAACAGACTTGGATCAAGTGCCTGTGTGAACAAGGGACCATGTGGCTTCAAATCTCCTGTGGGCAGCAAATGAATGGTGTGCAGATCTGCAGATGAGGCCTCCATTGTGTTCCACCATTCCCAGCAGTTTCCATTCAGGAGAGCAAATGCTGCTACCTATCTTTTTTCATGACCTTGACTCGGAAGCATGTGAAGGAAGGTAGCCAGTTTGCTGTCTAAAAACTTAGGATCAGAAAAACTTCTTCACACTAAAGTGAAAACGGTCGTTGTCTTAGTACTGACCTCTGAAAGGACTGTCAGGGACAGGTTGTGTTAAGCCCCCTGGGACATTTCCACAACTTTTTTTTCTCCCTAAGCCACTACTGCTTGAGCTTCCCTGGTGAGAAAACAAGAAAGAGGACCAGGCATGAACTGAGGATTGTATCCAAGACTGCGTTTTTAAGTCTTCATGAAATGAAAGACTGTGTTTTCTTCTCTTGCTGGTGGGGACAGTCTAGAGCTACTCAGAATCCCGCATCCCTTGCTGATCTGGCTACCTCTAGCTGGCACGGGGGAGTGGGGGCTGCCTCTTGTCTCAGCAACTTTCTAGAACCTTTGAACTTGCCAGATACCTTAAGTGTCTTCCTGGAATCTGCCTGCCAGTCAACAGCCCCCACACCAACTCAGGGACACTCTGATAATAGATGCAAGCTAATGAAAGCCATACCATAGTCAGATGTAGTGCAAACCTTTTGAAGCACGAGTAGCTGGCATCTACAATATCACAGATGCCATTTCCAAGCAGGTGCTAACTGTCTTTCAATGGCCCAAAGAAAGGGACATGGCCACGTGATTTATTTTAATCAGAATGAAGGGATGAGACAAAATAGATAATCAAGTAAAAAACGTAACGTAGCTAGGATGCCTTGGCACCATTGTTCTTTTCCCATTGCTTTTTGGATATTGTTTCTTTTTATTCTCACTGTAACTATGAAGAAGAGCAAGGAGCTGAATCAACAAGGCAAATTCCACTTGCAGACATCCTGTACTCCATAGAGCCCTTGTTAGTATTGAAGTGCAAAAGAAAAATGTGATTCTGTCTATGGCACAGGTGTCCTGTCAGCATTGTGTGAGGTCTGCACAAGCCTGGATCCTTATGGATCCTGTGCATGGGATGAGTGGGGAAAGGAGGCTTTCAGCAGGGGTTGATGCCATCTCAGGCCTCTAAGTAAGGTGTTCATGACATCACAGGTAGCACTGTCTCTCTGTCCTTCAAGAACACAGCAGATCCTACAGGCTGTTGAGAACCAGGCCATACTACTGGGTGTGAGGGGGTCAACTTTTTGTTTCTTAACATCCTAACTCTATTTTGTAGTACTTACCCCCCCCCCCATTTAGAAAGTCAAAGATAAAACTAGTTAGGGTAAGGATGCCACAGAGATGACTCAGTAGTTGAGAGCATATAGTGTTCTTATAGATGGCTTGTGTTTGGATTCCATTGTGCATGTTGGGTAGCTTCCAATCACCATAACTGTATGGAGAGTCTGATATCCTCTCTGTCCTCCATGGACAGAATACACACACAGTCATACACATACCCACACACAGGCATACATCTATGCACATAATTAGAAAATTAAATCTTAAAAAATAAGCGGGGACATGATATATAGCAAGATAAGTGAAAAAATAAAAAGTATGCTTTCCCCCCAGATAACTCATTTCACAAAGTAGTTTAAATTGAGTTTAAAAAAAAAAATCACTAGTAAGAAGTATGTTTTCCTTGATTTTCATTTTCATTTTACTTTACCTGTAATTATCAAGGGAAAAAAATACCAAAAGATGATGGGAATCATATGCTTCCATAGATTTGTAACCCTATAAGTAAGTTTATTATTGAATCACAAAAACAAGGGCATACTATGAAATCCAAAGTGGTAGTCGTCCTAACTAAGTGTATATGAAACTGAATAGCTGTGATGGCTGCTGGGTGGCAACAAAAGTGCCAGCCATCAGCCTGAGACTGCAGCTCATGGCAGGCCATTTCTACTATGAATTTGAAAGTGTCCAGGGTTGTGAATGGAAATGTAATCTGGAAAAAGCCAGGTAGAAGCCACACAGAGATGCATGGCATTCTAGAGTCGGATGTGCCTATGCCCTTCCTCTGAATTCTCCTAAGGGGACTTTAGAAGGGAGTGGACTAGCCTAAGACCATGAATACTGCAATTCATAGTTTAGCTACTCTGGCTTCTGAGACCCTGCAGCTCAGCAGGTAAACTGCCACCCATGTCAACTACTTCAACTGCATAAGGAGATCTGTAATCAGATGAAACAGGTCTCTCTCCTGATAGGGTTGTAAAAACCAAGCAAACAAACACACACACACACACACACACACACACACACACACACACACACACACACACACACACAAATTTACTATTCACAAAAGGCAGATAACATAGGCTGTGTTTCCATCTGCCACCTGCAGAAAGCTGCTTAGAAGCTATGACTGACACAGAACTGACTTAAAGAAAAGCACCCCCGAACCTCAACTCAGCAGCCCTTTCCCTTTACACTTAAACAAGTGTTCTTAATGCCGGTGACACTGAATCCAGGCACAATCAGGCTCAGTGCCGGAGCTGTGTGTGACCAAGACACACAATTTGTGTCATTCCTGCTTCCTGTCAGCTGTTGAAACCTTGTAAGGAGCCCTCATTATGAATTTCACCATCCTTCACTCCCCTCTACAAGGATGGGCAGTCTACTGAACTCTCTCAAGATAACACTTTCCGGGGAAGTGGGGAATTTAGAAGTTTCAGTACATTGCACATGAAGCCAGTTCAGGAGCCTAGTTTGTTCCAGTGCAATGTCTTGTATCACATTTTGGGAATTTGAATGCTTAACAGCTTACTAGGATACATGGAGACATTAAAACAGTGGCTCGCTGACTGCGTGTCTTCAGCTGTCAGGTTTCTACCAAAAGAATAACTAGAAAAGCAAAAGAAGCCATATGCTGTCCATAAATGAAAGCTGTCTGCCTCCATGTACACTCCATCTCTGCATTCTCCAAACACCCTAGAGACGACCAGTACCGTTGAGGCCTTTTAGTCTCTGCTTTTCTCTTTCTGTAGCTCACATGAAGCCTATACTTTATTCCATATTGTCTCCAACTTCAGTTATTTCTTTGATTTTTTTTTAAGTAACAGATTAATCCTACATACTTCATATACTACATACCTCATACATACTACAAACTCCATCTGTCCTCAGATAATGGTCTGACTTTTAGTCTTATGTATACTAAGAATCCCCTGGAGGCTGAGCCAACTTCTTCCATGGTTCCATGGTAGTTTTCATGGTTCCTATGCAACATGACAACCTGGGCTGTCAAAACACAAATGAGTCAGTAGGTTCAGGCAGAAATGGACATCCCCAAGGATTTGACATGGAATAAACAGGCTCTACCATATTAGGGTTGTCAGCTAGGCTGGGGTTACTCTAGGGACTTCTTGTGTTCTCCACCTCTGAAGCTGTAAAAATGTCTTAGAGAGAGTGCTCATCCCATAAATAGTGTGAGTTTCCAATGAGTTGTACTTGTATTAAGTAAGAAATCAAGTGTATATCAAAAGCTGTTTGCCAAAGTCATGCCTGCTCTCATCCACTGTTCTCTTCTAGTGTTTTCTTCAATTTCCATCTTATAAAGGTATTTTTTAATGGTTCACCTAAGTTGGCTTCCCAACTTCAGATTTCTCAAACAAAAGCCCAGCCCTGTAGACCACTGAGCACTGAGGGAAGTTATTCTGCCTCACCAGAGCATAGCATAGCTCATAGATGTTCAGAAATGAGCAATTCTTGGAGACCACAGGATAGATTTTAATTCTACTTCATAATGAGGTGTGAAAAGGAGCATAAAGCATGCACAAATTGTACTGCTCTTCCATTGAAGGGCCAGAAGGCATTTAAAATATTGTAGCTATGTTTTTTAAGCTGCAAATATCTTTTCCCGCTCTTTTAAAGGGAAATGTACTCATTTTTCTTTTACATGTATGGGTGTTTGTCTCCATGTGTGTATGTGTACCACCTGTGCCTGCAGAAGCTAGAAGGAGGCTATTAGATCCCCTGGAACTGGAGTTACAGACAGTTGTGAGCCACCATGTGGAGGCTGGAAACTGAACCTGGATCCTCTGCATGAGCAACAGGTGCTGCTAACTGTTTCTCCAGCCCTGCTTTCCTATCAGCTCTCTCTAGATAGATAGAATTTTTCATGTCTGGCCATCAGTCTCTCTAGTGACTCTGCCCAGAGCTTGGAAGGCATTCTACTCGTGGAAACAAATCCATGAGCAAAGAAGAAAGTCTTGAAGTTATTCTGTCTGCAGTGATTTAAATGGGATTTGTGGGGTCTACCAAAGGCACGGGTTTCTTCTAAAATCATTAATTTTATAATCTACTCTTTTACATATTCCTAGACACAAATACTGTGCCCCTACTGTCCCACTGACCACTGGGTGTGTAATCTTTGAGGAATGTGTGATTTAAGGAAAAAAGGATTTCCCTTTGAGAGAATAATCTAAGATACTCTCTGAAAGGCAGAACGTTTACAAATTAGACACTGGGTAATTTTTAAGAGCCTTTAGTGGAAGCATGTCATCCATTCATCACAGTCTTTTTTCCGTCTTTGA